TTCCTAGAGAACTAATTATTATTTACCATGTCCTTTGCCTTACAGAAGTTTTCCAGTTTCAGGAAGTCCCATTTATTGATTTTTGCTCTCAGTGTCTATGCTACTAGTATTATGTTTAGGAAGTGGTCTCCTGTGACAATGTGTTCAAGGCTACTTCCCACTTTCTCTTTCATCAGATTCAATGTAACTAGATTTATGTCGAGGTCATTGATCTACTTGGACTTGAGTTTTGTATTTGTCTATAGAAAGATGATCAATTAAGCTGGATAGTTTTTATGTGAACTTGACATACGCTAGAATCATGTTGGAAGAAGAAACTCAATTGCTATAATGCCCCCAATAGATTAGACTATGAGCAAGTTTGTGAGGTATTTTCTTGATTGATGATTGATGTGAGAGACCTATCTCACTGTGGGTGGTGGCACCCCTGGGCTGGTGAACCTGAGTGCTATGAAAAAAGCAGACCACTAACCTGCATTTCTTTTTGTTTGTTTGTTGCTTTTTTTGGTTTTCGAGACAGGGTTTCTCTGTATTGCTTTGGAGGGTGTCCTGGAATTTAAATTTCTTAATTATCCTAAACAGTTTAACAATAGGTTTCAAGGTCTAGAACTTTACACTACATTTTGAAATGAGCAGCATAAGTACAATACCTTAAACAAGAGTAGGAACACACACACACACAAAATGTTGTAACAAAAATAACCGTAAATTTGCATCAGTATACAAAATTCCACACCAATGTAAAATGTTTGAGACTAGTAGTTGCCTTTTAGTTTAAACATGGATTTAATAATCTACCTTTCATCTTATCATTCTTATATCTGCATCCCCTTTTTTTCACTAGATAGGAGAGAAAGAAATCCCTTAATCTAACCTCCTTCGTTTAATGTCATCCCTGACTATGACTCATAACAACTTGCAACTAACCCCACTAAATATCCATAACCTCCTGAATGACCAAAAAACACCCACCCCATATCTTGGGCAACGTGGGCAAAATTACTTCCTGATGTATGGGGGCAATAGCATCTTTAGGGGACACTGGGAAAATTGGGAAAATAGTAAAGTCCTGGAATCTAGCTGTATCATTCCCTGTCCAGTCTCTGTGTGACGGGAAGTTCAGGGCTTAACTGAATCCCTGGATGAAGTAGTCTGTTGTGCTGGCTTTGAGGTTGTACCAGATGCAGATTTTTGAGGAAACTGCAACAGAGGCATTCTGAGAGGCGGGGTCACCTGAGCTACTTGTCCTCATTGGTGCTTTGTCCTTTTTTCCTGAAAATAGACAAAAATTTAAAGATAGCATACATATCTACATTAACACAAGTGAGGAATTCTTGGTGCACAAATCATCTGAAGAAGACTCTCTGTTCTGTGATGGAGCAGGTAGAAGATATCTGTCAACTTTGTAAATCCATTTGGACTATATAACCAAAGTGTAATATAAATCTCCATTCACTCCATAAGAAAGGAGGGCATTTAATAAGAAGTCATGAGGACTCTGTAGCCAACAAAATTTATCATGCTTCATCGAGTCTCAGAGCTGTTCCTATGTACAGGGATCAGCATATATGGCACCTGTCTGGTAGTTCTTCTTGGTTTCTTCCTTCACATCTACAGCCAAGTAGGAAAGTCAGTTACATTTAAAACACCAGGAGACTCCCAATGGAATACATGTTTTATTTTCATTATGTTGTAATGCTTTTGTTTTCAAAAGAAAGAAAACACGAAAACAATTGTTATAATAGGTTCTCTATTAGTGACTTCTTAATTTTTTAATACTATCTAGAGATTGGCTATTCTACTGGGATTCATTTATTAGCATTGAAGGAATTTCAATGTTAAACTCACAAGAAGCATTTAAGATGTGAGAAAAAAATCATTCAATCCTAACTCTTCCTAAGGAAAATTAACATGAAGAGAACAATTGCCTATGTTCTTTTTGTTCTTCACCAGAAGAGATCTTCATGATGACTTAAATCTCATAGCATCCACATCCATACATCTTATGGGAAGCAGGTGAGTTACAGTATTTTATCTGGATGTAATTACTTTTTTGAGTAGAAGCTTTTAATACTAACAGTTTTTCATAAAAGTACTAATAGACAGTGAATATCTCTGGTGAGGGGAATTATTGAATAGAAAGCAGTACTGATGGGGAAAAACTTTAAAATCTTGTCAGATCCTCTTAGTCTTTAAGCATAGGTATTTGTGCACTAGAAATTTGAAGTCAATTATGTGAATGTGTGAAGAACTCTATGCTTAGTGTTTCCACTATGCTGATTATTGACATCAATGAAAAACTATAGACATAGATTGCTGAGTGTATGCTTCTTTGTAAAGTCAAATTTTTCAGAGAAAAGTTAAAAAGAAGATGTATGAGTTAGATTAGGGAGGATAACCCAGGTATTCAGAGGTGCAATTAAGACTCAAAGATTTTGAAATTAAATATGTGTTAGTGTGCTTTGTAAAATAATACAATAAAACCAATATGCTGTATATTTTACAAAGAAACTGTATTCTGCAAATCTTCCTTTAGCAGAAAGGTTTTTTCAACTTCTGAGAACCACAGAAGTGTGTGACATCTTAGGATAGTCAGTTCCGTTCTTGCCTGGTTCATGGTTTAGATAGCATTCCTACACATATGTAGGATAGTCTTGTATCTGAAGAGTCACTTTCGTTACTGAACTCTTGGCAGATACTAAGCAAGAATAGTCTGATGCCTCTGCAGATTTAGTGTGGAATACCATATAATTATTAGACTCTTCATCAGCTTCTCTGTTAGTTAATATGTCATGATGCCAAGTCAAGCCCCCAAAAAAGAATTTGTTTCACATTCTCAACAAAAAAAATGAGAAGGAATAATTTCTACAGTATTACTTCTTTGTTTCAGAAAAAAATCCCTTAACAGATCCATATAATTTTTACTCTCAAGATTATTCTTATCATGCTTTTTAAAATAACTCTAAGTTTTACATATTGAGGTAGGGTAATTAGAAAGCATATGTTTTTAGAAATTGTGTTTCTGGTAGCCACAAACTGTGGTATGGAATAATTAGCAAGTTCATAAGGAACTTATCAACATGATATAGAAGCATAAGCACACCCATGTATCAGCAATTCAAGGATTTCAATATATGAATCACTACTGATGCTCATAACCAAGCATAATGTGTCATTTACTAAATGATGAACTGTGTTAACCTTGAATTGGATTCCCCTTCCTAATGCCAAGTTTCAACATAAGCTATTCTTCTCACTATTTTCCAATTTGTGAAGCTTTCAAACATTATTTTGAGAGTTTATTTTTGCTTTGTGTATCTTTGTCATAGACATTTTATATTAATTTACATCATCATGTTCTCCTCATCTGATTTTCTATTTAAAAAAATTTACAGTTTGAACATTTAAACAAAATCCAGAAAATGATGACATTGTGACTTCTTATTATGGCTGTTTTTTCAATACTTTTATTTCAGTGTTATTTGTATGCATGTTTTTATCCATTTTATTTTTTATTTCATTTTACATTCCAACCATAGCTCTCCCCCACACTTCCTCCCACCTACTTGCCACCTCACATCCCCCTTCATGATGCCCTAGCCCACCCCCAGTCCACTCCTCTTCAATATAATTTTTGAGACATATTTTTACCTCTCTCCAACTCTTCCCATATAATCCATATAATCCCTACCACTACTCTCTTTCAAATTCATGGCTTTTTTTCTTTAACTGTTATGCACATATATGTATATACGTACTTACCTATACACATATATATTATACACAGACACACACACCACACACATATATATATACACACACATATATATACATATATACACACACACACACACACACATATATATATATATATATATATATATATATATATATATGTTCCTAGCTATACAAAACGACCCTCTCAGTTGTATATATGTTTTCAGGGCTGACAACTTAGTACTGGGTAAACAATTGGTGTGCTCTTCCCTATAGAAGACTGATTTTTCCCACACAGCATTTCTTGTTTGCATGAAGTTATTTGTTATAGGGTTGTGACTTTTTTATAATGTTACATACTAACTTTGATAACTTCCTTTGTACTGCTATAGGAGCAACTGGAGTATAGACACAACCTCCTTAGAAGCATGTGTAATTGAACTATTAAAAGGCATTGTCAGATACATACCTTTTTGAAGTGGCAAATGTAAGGAGAGCTCTTGTATTGTTCTTTAATTTGCATCAAATCACTAGTGTTTGTGTGAAAAAAATGTGCTTCCTCTAGTAACAGTTATTTTAATTTTTTGACTATGTCACCTCAGCTATGGATTTCATGTCATGAGCTAAGAATGACAGTGTAATAATATAGAAGACATAAATAGTTTTCTAAATGAACTAATGCCAGGTCAATATATTTTAATTGAAGAAATTTTAAAAAATACTCATTTGAAATAAGAGTTTGATTTATTGCATTTTTGTTTCTCTTAGGAAAAAATAGTGATATCTTGTTAAAACTAAAGTTCCTTCTGTTTTTGTTGTTCATTATAAATAACATGAAAATCAGTTGAGAAATTGATATTCAGTTTGTACTTTTATCAGTATTGTTTAAAGTAACCAGAGCATATAATGCATTGAATAATTTCCATTCTTACTAGTATATAAACCATTATAGCTATCTAGGTACCTTAAAATGACTGTGAGTATACTGTAAAACCTTATTGGTGTCTTTAGGCTATCTCCTAATATTTCTCATAAATACATATAATTAAAACTCCTTATATCTCAAAACCATGCTAAGAATCTTCCTATGTTAGGTGTATTTGTAAATACAGAAGTATTCCACGTACATATGACTTGATTAATGAGAATCTGAGAGAGAAATATGACACTGACATCAACTCCACCTTGTTTGAATCTTGCTCATAATGTCTACATCTTGTTTGAACCTTGGTCACAGCTTCTGCATCTCAATCTCCTTGCAGTGACCAGGCTGAGGGGATGTTATGGAGGTGAACAGGACCCTGCTGACTGAGTTTGTTCTCAGAGGAATAACAGATCGTCCAGACCTGCAAGTCCCCCTGTTCCTGGTGTTCTTCCTCATCTATGTCACCACCATGGTGGGCAACCTTGGCTTAATCTTTCTCATCTGGAAGGATCCCCATCTTCACACTCCTATGTATATTTTCCTTGGAAGTTTAGCCTTTGCTGATGCCTGTACTTCATCCTCAGTGACTCCCAGGATGCTTGTCAACATCTTAGACAATGGTAGAATGATTTCTCTCTTTGAATGCATGGCCCAGTATTACGTTTTTGCATCCAGTGCAACCACAGAATGTTTCCTTCTGGTAATGATGGCCTATGACCGCTATGTTGCCATATGCAACCCTCTGCTCTATATTGTGGTGATGTCCAACAGAGTATGCACTTGCCTCATAAGTGTTTCATATGTAATCGGTTTTCTGCATCCACTTGTACATGTAGGATTATTATTTAGATTAACATTCTGCAGGTCCAATGTAATAGATCATTTCTACTGTGAGATCTTGCCACTCTATACAATTTCTTGCACTGACCCATCTATTAATGCATTAGTAGTCTTCATTTTTGCTGCTGTTATACAAGCTATTACTTTCATGAGTATCATAGTATCCTATGCTTGTGTCCTCTTTTCCATCCTAAAATCTAAGTCTGAGAGGGGCAGAAGCAAAGCTTTCTCCACCTGCAGTTCTCACCTGCTCTCTGTGTCTTTGTTCTATGGCACTCTCTTCTTCATGTACGTGAGCCCTGGGTCTGGACCAAGTCAATATAAAGATAAAATGTATTCACTGTTCTACACCATTGTGATACCTCTGCTAAACCCCTTTATTTATAGCTTAAGAAACAAGGAAGTTTTAGGTGCTCTGAGAAAATTTATAAAACCATAAATATTTTCCAGAAAAATTTTTGGTGTTTAATTTTTAAATACATCAAAATTTCTAATATTGTATTATCACATATAGTAAGCTAATAGTGATTGCAACATAAATATCACAGATTTCTAAATCATTAGTGTACACTTTAAAAGCATATCTCAATTATCTGTTATTTTAAATCCATACAGATAAATAAAAATTAACTCAACAAATTAAATCTCCTTGTAATATAAGCAAACTCTAATATATCAGATTATATATATATATGTGAATTTCTATTCCCTAAGGAACTCCTATTTTTATATAAATCCCTTGTTTAAAATATATTTATGCTCTTCAAAATATGTTTTACTACTTTTAGTAAATTTTTATTTAATGGTTAAAAATTGTGAATGTAAGTTTATCTTCTCATAATTACAGGAAAACTTACATTCCACATTTGATGCTCAAAATGTCTTGGTTTCAAGGAATCTCTTACTTTGTGTAGTTAACTTTTGCCATTGCTCACATTGTGTGTGTGTGTGTGTGTGTGTGTGTGTGTGTGTGTGTGTGTGTGTGTCTGATGCCTGTAGGTCAGAATATATCAGTTGTCCTACTTTCTCATTTTTTTTTTGGTTTTACGAAACAGGGTTTCTCTGTATTTTTTTGGAGGCTGTCAGACCAGCCCCGCCTCGAACTCACAGAGATCCGCCTGCCTCTGCCTCCCGAGTGCTAGGATTAAAGGCGTGCGCCACCACCACCCAGCTACTTTTTCATTTTCCAACTTAGTGATTTTGATAAATGATCTCTTACTTAACCTTGAGTCTGGATTCTGACCAGAAAGTCCCCGTGATCCTCTGGTCTCCAGCCCCTACTATGCTGTGGATATTGATTATCCTTTCTTTTTATAGATACAGGGAATAAACATTCTTGCCCAACATACCTTCTTACCCATTGAGCCATATTCCCAGCTCTAAAATAACTATGTAAGATTTAACAAGACTTTTAAGGGGGGTGATATTCTGTCATATTTGCTAAGTTACCAAAGTTTAGCAATTAAATGATTAAAATAGATTAAATTATTTTAATATCACATAATTATGAGTCATTTCAAAGCTTATTTTAAAGTTCTTTATATAAAAAGTTTCCATACAATGTGTATTGCTGAAGTTCTTTTCTTTCCTACAACACTTCCCAGATACTCCTCACCTCCTTATCTACCCATGTTTCTTCTCATAAACAAAACAATAACAACAACAACAAAACACTCAAAATATGTAATGTATCAAGAATTCTTGAGTAAGAATAACTGCTCCCAGCATAGTATTTCCTACTGCTGAAGCACTGATATTCCGACTAGGGAAGATTTCAACCCTATAGGAAACATATAAATTTAGCATTAAGCATTAAAATATTTTTAACCTGGTCATGGTGGCATGCGAGTACATTCTCCCACATCGGGTTTCGAATAATCAATTCCATAAGTGAATAGAGCATAAAAATATTTTTCCAACCTATTTTTCATTTTAAAATAAACATATAACCTTAATTTTGCAAGTATAAAGTTAGGATTAATTTTTATGTCGGTGCATTTAATTTTGACCTACGGAATTTTCAATACATAATTTAGTGAACTTACTAATATGCACATTAGCTTTAAATTTTATCTTTCATGCATTGTACAACATAGTTAACCCCCTAGTTTCATCGTATGCATTTACATTTTGGAAAAATCATTTACTGTTAGAGCCAAACATTTACAATCTAAAATTGTTTTCTATGCCAAGCTGCTTCTGTTTCCTGTTGTTTTTCATCAAAAATACATTTCACAATGATTTTTCCTACATTTGATGGTCCCATACTGTCTTATTTTATTGAAAATAGGTTATTTTATCATACCATACATCCTGATTATAGCCTTTCTTCCTTCCATTCATTCCAGTTCCTCCCTACTTACCACACCCTCCAGACCCACTCCCTTTCTGACTCTCTTTAGAAAAGAAAAGGCTTCTAAGAGATAACAACCAAACATGTCAGAAACAAAATATAATAAAATTAAGCAAGGACTTTCATATTCATGTTGGGCATGGCAACACAGTAAGAGGAAAAGAGTCCCAGAAGCAGGCACAAGAGTCAGAGACCCACTTGTTTTCATTGTCAAGAGTCCAATAAAAATACTGAACGAATAGCTACAATATATAAATGCAAAGGACTTGATGTAGATCTATGTAGGCCATGTGTTTGTGGCTTTAGTCTCTGTGGGCTCACATGTGCCATGCTCAGTCAGTTCGGAGGGTGTTGTTCTCCTGGTGTCTTCCACCCTCTCTGACTCCTACAATATTTCTGCATCCTCTTCTGACAGATTCCTTGAGAAATGAGGGGAAGGGTTTGGTGAGATTTTAAATTGGACTGTCTCCAAATAATATCTGGCTGAGGGTCTCTATTGCTTCCATCTGCTGCCAGAGGAAGCCTCTCTGATGATGACTGTATAAGGCACTGATCTGTGAGTATAGCAGAATACCATCATGATTAATTTTATTGTTTTGGTTTATGTGTATGTTGTAGCTGTTGTTTTGTTGTTTTTTTAACATTCCTATTTGGTTTTACCCTAAGTCTTTGGTCTGTCTAGTTTCTGGTTTTTAGTTACCCAAGCAGTGTCCGGTGTGGGTTCCATCTCATGGAGTGGTCCTTAAGCCAAATCAAATTTTGTTTGGCCACTCCCACAAGTTCTGTGCCATCATTGCCGTCTTACCATATTTTATGGTAAGAACAGATTGTAGGTCAAAGGTTTTATGGCTGAGTTGGTGTTTAAATTTATGTTTTGGTAGTCTACTGAGTACTTCCCCACACCAAGGAGACTAAAACATAGTGGAAGGGCTCAATATAAGTACCATCTCCACTTCTCCACATTCAATGAGTTGTGTGGATGTTGTCCTTGGCAACGTGGTCTTGCTCTCAGTTTTGGGATTTGTTCTTAGCATCAGCCTGGGTTGTTTGGGAATTTCCATGGGACCCCCTTGACCAACAACTTACCTGAATACAACCCAGACACACCACTGCAAGCCTTGCCTGGATACAAGAAATGGTCAGTTGAGACTCTATTCCCCATTATCAGCAATCATCACTAGGATCACCTTCATAGATTCCAGGAAGTTTACATTGTACTAGGTTTCCACACCACCCACAAAATGCCCCACAATTCTGGCATCTATCTCCACATTCTCTCCCTCCATCCCATCTCTCCACACACATCTGATCCCTTCTACATCTTGTGCCTCTGACTCCTATCCCCACCTGCCTCCAGCCCACCTGCAAAAATCTACTCATTTTCCAGTTCCCAGGGAGATTCATGCATTTCCCCCTTGGCATTTCCTTTTTATCTAACCTCTCTGAATAAAGCTTGGTTATCATTTACTGAATAATTAATATCTCCTTATAAAATAAACACCATGTTTATCTTTCTGGGTCTGGGTTACATCACTCAGAATTGTGTTTCCTAGTTCTATCTGCAAATTTCATGATGATATTATTTAAACAGTTGAGTAATAATTCATTTTGTAAATGTACCACCTTTTGTTTATCTGTTCTTCTGTTGAAAAACATCTATGTTGCTTCTAGTTTTGTATAATTACTAATAAAGTGGCAATGAACATGGCTGAGCAAGTGTCCTTGTGGTAGGATGGCACATGGTTTGGGTCCACGCCCAACCAAAGCATAACTGGGTCATGAGGTAGATCAATTCCCATTTTTTAAGGAACTGTCATATTGGTTTCTGTATTGTCTGTATAAATTTGCATTATCAGACAAAAAGGCAGCCCACAGAATGGGAAAAGATAATCACTAACCCCACATCTGACAGAGGGCTGATCTCCAAAATTTACAAAGAACTCAAGAAGCACAAGTCTCCAAAACACCAGAGGATGCAATTAAAAAGTGGGGTACAGAACTAAATAGAGAATTCTTAATAGGGAAGTCTAAAATGGCTGAAAGACACTTTAGAAAGTGCTCAGTATCCTTAACCATCAGGGAAATGCAAATCAAAACAACTCTGAGATACCATCTTACTCCTGTAAGAATAGCTAAAATAAAAAACACTAAAGACAATTTATACTGGAGAAGATGTGGAGAGAGGGGAACACTCCTCCACTGCTGGTGGGAGTGCCAACTTGTACATCCACTTTGGAAATCAGTATGGAGATTACTCAGGAAAATGGAAATCAATCTGCCACAACATCCAGCAGTTCCACTCTTAGGCATGTATCCAAAAGATGCAAATTCATACAATAAGGACATCTGTTCCACTATGTTCATAGCAGTATTATTTGTAATAGCCAGAACCTAGAAGCAACCTAGATGCCTCTCAACTGAAAAGTGGATAGAGAAAATGTGGTACATATTTACACAATGGAGTACTACTCAGTGGAAAAAAAAACAATAGAATCTTGAAATTCTCAGGCAAATGGATGGTACTAGAAGAAACCATCCTGAGTGAGGTAACCGAGTCACAAAAAGACAAACATGGTATGTACTCTCTTATATATGGATTTTAGACATGGATCAGGATAGTTACAGACTGCAATTCCACTGACAGAGAGTCTGCAAAACAGGAAAAACTTAAGAGAGATATGCATGGTACCCCACAGAAGAGGAATGAGGCAAGATCTCCTGAACAGATTGGGAACATGATGGGAGGGGTGTGTGGAGAGAGTGGGAGCTGGGAAGAAGAGATGGGGAGAAGAGGAAGAGAGAGTAGGTCATGAGGGAACAGGAAGGTTGAGAGGGGGGTAGAATAGGGGGAGAACAGGATGAGAAATACTATAATATGTGAGTCATAGGTTTGAAGAGATATCTGGCACCAGTTTAGATGTCTAGATGACACCAACTTGTAAGCTAAGCAATAGTGGAGAAACTATCTTAAATGTCCATTCCTGATAATGAACTTGCCTTCCTACAACCTTCATCCAGTGACTGATGGAAGAAAAGGCGAACACCCACAGTTAAACACTGAACTGATCCCATGGAACCCAGTGGCA